TCCAAGACTCACTCAAATTAAGACACTACAGGGTCTTAAGCATCAGCATCCCCACACTTCAAAACAGTGGTGGGAGCACTTGAACTGAAGCTCATTTGATGAACCTTAGTTCAAGCGCCCCTGCCAACATTTTGAAGTGTGGGGAGGCCGATACATGAGATGCAAGAGGCTGCTGGAGTGCAGCAATTACCATGCTGCAGCAGACCCAACTGAGTCTGCTCCGACCTGCTGTAATTCCAGCAGGTCAGAGCAGCCTCCACGCTTGTGTATAGGCACCTGGTGTTAATGCGCATTAATACATGTCTAGACATTCCCACTGTCAATCAAGTTGGAGGACAAGAAGTTCTACTTAACACAAATCTTGTCAAGCTTCTTTATATGGTATAATTACACTTCTGTACTGCAGCAAAAGCTGTGCTATCCGGTATCTTACAAGCCGGCATGCTCCGCTAACTGGCATGTCGGCTTGTAAGATAAAGAGAAACTAGAAGTACCCACCATGGCACTTGTGGTTTCTCTGAGCCCCCACGGCTGGGGGCAAAGCAACCTGCACTGCCAAGCCCCCAAGGCCAAGGGGCATAACAGGCTGCGCGGGGCCTGCCTCCCTGTCCCACAGGACAGGTGGCAATGCGGCAGGAGGGATGGCGATGCCGTGGGAGGGGTGGCGGGAGAAGTGGCAGCTGGGGCCACTCAATTAACCAGTATATTTTGTCATCTGGCATCCCCCATTCCTGGGGGATGCCGGATAACAGAGCTTTTACTGTACCCTCTATTTGAGAGTGCTCCAAAATTTATGGGCATAATCTTCACATCTATCAGAGACAGATATGATCTTCCTATTAAATAGTTTTGGTTGTTGGGGGTTTTTGTTTTGTTTTTAAACTTACTAGTTTTTGTAGAATAAAATTTGTCTATCAGAATAACTTATCTTGCTCACAGTTACATAGGACTCGGATCCCCTGACATAGTCCTGGGCCTTAACCCAAGACTGTCAGTCTTTTCCTTAGTTTTTATTGCCATCTATCATGCCTGCTATTAAGAGACAGTGAGTAAGCAGAATTTTTGTATTATTCATCACTGTGCACGTTAATCTTGGGAGTAGGAATGTTACATGCTAAATAGCATCACATTGTATAAATACAACAAAAAGAAAAAAAGGGTTAATGTTCAATACCTGCATAAAGTAATGGACTTTGTTCTTAAAAATGTCAAATAATGGTTCTATTGGCTTTGTCAACAGCTTTTGAACCAGTAGCACTAAAACAAGTTTTCTATTAGAAATCTGTACTGAACTTTGTCCAGTGTAAAATGTCACTTAGATTCCATTAAAAGTGTTCTCAACCTGGGTTTATGTACAAATGTCAGGAGGGTCACAACCAGCACTTCCTTTCCTATATTACTAAAGCAGTTGGGCTCACTGTAAGATGAGGATACATTTCATGAAGTAGAGAGGGGCTTGGGGGGATCTGGGCCCTCCAAAATGATGCAGTTATGAAAAAAGCTAATGATCCCAAGCGGGTATATTTCTAGTAGAGATAGGAAAATATTAGAGTGGTGCCACTCAACCCTATTTAAAATATTGTATGCAGTTCTGATCACCTATGTTCAGACTGGAATAATGGGTGAAGGAAGAGAACTACTGGCATGGTTAATGGAATGGATTTATGAGCGGAGATTAAAGATCTTGGCTATTTAGCTTGCTTAGGAAAATGAAGGTTGAGAGAAGACATGATACTTTTTTCCACAGAGTAAATAGTTGGACTTTCTTCCTAATGTTTATGTTAAAGAACAACGAAGTTTGATAAAACACATTTGATCCCTGTTGGGAGGTGTCTGGAAAACCAGTGTTTCAGAGATTTTCCCAGTTCTTTGTAATGCCTATGAAATTTGTATTTATTTAAAAATTTTCCTCTGTGACTGCATTATTGGCTTCCAGTTTATTTGAATTTTTTCCTCATCCTCCTCTAAAGTAGCAGGCACTGACCACAACTACAGGCGGAGTCCAAGGACATTCAGGTCCCTTTCTGGTAGATCTGGCTCACATGCCTAGGATTAAACTGATTGCAAATTTGGGGTCAGGAAAGATTAATTTATTTTTTGAGGTCAGGTTTGCATGAACTGTGGGAATTTCTTACTTTCCTCTGTAGTATAGGGGCTGGAGCTTTTCTTGGGATTACCTGAACAGAGCTTTACCCAACTAATTTCTGGTCACTGAAGTTGTAAGGCATTGGCAATGCTCTCTCCTGCTCTTTACCCATGTCATGTAGTGGGGATGTTTAGAAGGTGTTTGGTGACTGGTGTGGGGTTCAAAGACATGTTCTTGTGGATTATTTTGGGACACTAGTTGCCTGTGAAGGCAGAAGACTGGACCCGATGGCTCAGGAAGCCTTTTTTAGGTTTATGTTTCAGCAAGATTGTGGAAAGACAGCATAGAAGTTTTGAGATTCCAGTATGAATAGAATCTGAGCTGTAACTGACTTGTATTAGTTGAAAGTTAAGGCCATCTGCTTAAGGACTTAAGTCAGAAAATGTTAGATGTACGTTTGTAAGTAAAATTTTACCGCTGCCCACTTGTTACTGGGCACTATGATCAGTTAATCACTTCACCATGTACTATCCATAATCAACTGAAATGTTTAGATCTTCTCTCTCATGTGAAGCGTCTTTAAAGATAAAAGCCTTACAGTCAGACAAAAAAAAAAAAAAGGCTGCAAACTATTCCACAGATAGTCATTCATACCTGTAAGAGCTTTGAAGAAAGTCATGATTGTGCTGGGGGCAGGGATCCTGTTTTAGCAGTGATCCTGCTTTGTCCCTCAAGATGCTGCTCTCACAGCAAAATATTCTGGAAATTATATTTTCTGTCTGCCTGACACTTGTACCTTTGTACATGTCGATCTGAGTAATAAAGCCTGTCATTCCATTCTCCTTCCTTCAAAACAGAGACGCTGACTAATTCTTCCCAACCGCAGCCCCTAGGTGTAATAGTCACCTTGGCTGCCCACCTAATTTTCGATTAAAAGTTTGCCGATAAGGGCGCCACAAGAAATATTGAGTTTGACTACTGTTCATTAGTCCAACAGTTTTGTGGTTCCCAGAGTTATCTGACACAAACACCTATCCTAAATTCTGGGAACCGCAGAGCTCCCTTCCCTGGTGTCAATTAGCACTGTCAACTCCTTTTGATTTTTAAAAGCTGAATCCACTATTTAAAACTTTTCCACTGAATCCACTATTTAAAGCCTTTCAAAAGTCTCCAATTTAAGTCTTAATGGTTCATCAAGTGACTATACTTCCAAGAATTCAATTGAGTTTTATAAGTTAAAGAAATGGCTGAAAAAAACAAAAAACAAAACAAAAACAAAAACAAAAAAAACACTAGTTACAAACCATTAACTTTTCCTATAACTCATATTAACAGAAGTAAGGAAGTGTGGCTATTCATTTCACTATTGGGTCTTTCTTTCTTAGTAGCATGCTGTTTGGAGAGCTGTATGAGTTATGTGAAGAATACCAATCAGGACTTTCTCCATTAGCTCTGACTTTCTTCATCTTATCATATGGGGTTTTCAGCCCTTTAACTTCAAAATAAAGTATAATTGATAACAAGTAGAGTAAGGGTGCAAAGAAATCATCATTAATATGCTCAGTTAGTTCTTATTGCCTCATCTATACTAGAAAATTATACCATGTGTAATTAAAGTGCTCATATTAGCCCTGAAGTAACTGCCAGGTTACAAAACATTCTTGTTATCAATCCTATTCGCTTCCATTTATCTGTCTACACAGTGATATCATAAGACAATCCAAGTTTATTATCTCCGAGGTGATGGTCGAAATATTATTTGTGCTGTGGCTGTGAATTAGGGCTTTTCTATATTCAAAAAAGGTGCACCAATGTAACCAAGCTGATTTAACAATTAATCTAGTGACTTGGGAGGTAGATAGAACTCAGCTGAAGTGGCATAAGCATAAGTTATTTAATAAATAACCACTCAGCAAAGAAATACTCCATCATTCACCAGTGCTTCTCCTCAACACCAGCCTGGTAATGTTACAGGTTAACATGCACCAAGAATTCATGTCAATCTAACCCTGATCACAGAAGGCTAACAAGAAACAAAAACCACTTTTAGAGAATATATGAAACAAATGTATGTGCACATGTTCAATATGCTGTGGTTTGGTTTAGCTTTGTAACTCAGCATGCCAAATTCTTACATGTAAATAAGACCCTGGTCAATGAATAAATTAAGCTTTGCAATACATATGAGAGTTAGGTACTTTAAATGTTATCCCCATTTTTGGAGGTTTAAGGTATGTTTCTCAGTGCTAAGATACAGTCACAAGCCTCCAGTATGATGCCCTGCAACTTTTATTGACAACCCCTAGGAAGTGCTTTAAACCTTTTGAAAATTATGCCATGAATGATTAAGAAGCCTTAAGGAGCCTGTAATTATAAAGCAAGTACTGTGAGAAACAACCTGTGTCTGCTCCACAGCATTTGCAGGAGAAGTTATTTCACTGCTCAGATAGATACCAATAAACTGGGAGAATGACTTTACATCTTCATTTCTGAAATACCGAGGCTACTCACTTCCATATTGTACTGGCTGACTTGAGATCAGTAGCGACCTTTCAGAGTGCTTAGTGTGATATGCCACAATCTCTTTTTTTTTTTTTTTTGCATAAGCAACTATTATATCAACAACTGCATTGCATATTTTCTCCATTTGAAATTTTTCAAGAGGGTGACAAAAGTGTGAATGCATCTCTCTTTTAGAATAACAGCAGCCATTTCATTCCAGTTCAGCATTGTTACATAGAATTTTCCTCATTTGTTAATGAAGGGCTCTTAATGAATTTGCTAGCAAGACTTCCTATATTAACTTAGCACCGCTCCGATAAACAATTACTGTATCTGCCAATCACTACTTTAATGATGTGGGTCAGACTGGCTTAGTTTTTCAGCCGTACTCTCTTTCCCAAGCTGCTGCTACATTGTGGAAGATCTATGTAATGGGCATACTGCACGGCTGTTCCAAGTATTTAATCACATGGGCTCAGGAACATTTGAGTAAACTGTGCCTAGCAAAGGAGCCAACAGCTTCTCCTTAAAATAAAATAGCTACTGAAGATCACAGCACTGCAAGAAAGCTTGTTGTTCTAAGAAGATAAAGCTTTATTTGCCAGCAAAAATGTCTGACAGAAGCCCCTTCGAAACAGATATGCTCACCCTCACCCGATATGTTATGGAAAAAGGACGACGAGTTAAAGGAGCTACTGGGGAGCTGACGCAGCTGATCAACTCCATGCTGACTGCCATAAAGGCCATTTCCTCAGCAGTCAGAAAGGCAGGCCTTGCCCACATGTGAGTCAAATTTTAAAATAGAAGGGAAAGAAAGAGGAGAAAGATTTGCCTCTATAGTGAAGCTGGGGAGAGGGCAGATGTTCAGGGAATTTTTAATTAATTCATACTTATGTTTAACATGCCTCTTTGAAACCACGTCACTGAGGGGTGTGAATTCAGAGCCTGGTATCCAACAGGGGTGGAGAAGTGGTGCTTTTACCATAATGGAGATGGGTGCATTTCTGGAGGGCTTTTCATATTGTGACCAAAATGGCTACAGAGACTAGTTGTTGTTTTACCAACTGATATTTCACCTTAAAAACAGAGTCAAATGAGAGGAAAACCAAAGGTTGGTTCCATTATTTCCTATTCTGTTCATGTTATTATTATTTGTTAATGTTGGAACTGGTATGTTTCAGTTTTTGGCAAATCTGCCAAATATTCTGTTTGGAAAACTTCTAAGCACACATTGTCACAGGAAGTTTCTGAGCTATGCAAAAAACTTTTGAGCTGTGTGTCCATCTTGGAAATGTTGATGCACAAATCCGTTACTATGGTATTAGCAATAATGTTATACAGCAACCCTAAGAAAAATGCTGGATGCTGACTGAGTGTGTGCTTCAATCTCTCCGAGTCAGAGTAGCACAGAAGATGGTAAATGCTCCTATGTAAAGGGTGACACAACCAGCAGGAGAAACGAATCAAACTTCCGAGAGGGCCAATGCAAGTCAGAGAACAAGGAACTGCTGCAGATCATCTCTGATGAAACAAAGGAAGCAACAGAAACAAAACAGAAGGGAAACGGGTAACTTACAAAATAGAAGTAAGAGCTTTGGTTTTTTTTACAGAAAGATGAAGTTAGGCCTGACATTTCTAAACCCCCTCCAATTTGAGAGCATAGCATGGCTTCTTTAATGTATAGGAAATGAACACCGACTTTAAAATGCTTTCTGTTTAACAGCAAAAGGGAGCCTACTGCTATCTGTGACTTTGAAAATTCACCCTGAAAATGTTTAATAATCACACTTATTTCAAATCACAGAGTGGTTTTGGTTCAAAGTCACCTATGGGAACAGTTACTTACGATTCAACAGAAATGCCTTTTTATGGTATCAAGTAAATTATACTGTATGTAGATTAATAAAAAGACATGTCATGTGCGTTCAACGGTGTGAGATGATACAGAAAAGTATGCCCAGCAATTTTCACAATAAAATGTCAGGAAGGATTTGGAAATACAGTACGGTACCATAACAAACCCTCATAAGACTGGTAGAAAAGTGCCTTTAAAAAGGGTGTTTGCTATAATAAAATTTGGTCAGTTTGCTGCACCACAACGAAAAAAAAAAAAAAAAAAAGAAGAGAGGCTCTTGCTCTTAGGATTGTTTAAAGGCAGAGATTTGTTCTACACAGGGCTTGTTATGAGGTTGTACTCTATTTAGAAAGCACTTATTTCATAGGTCATCTGTTTCCCTTCCCTTGGCCAGAGGATGCTCCAGCTACTTGCCTTGCCTCAGTAGGCAGTAGCATGTAGAGTGCAACGGTTACATTTACAGTCAGAGCTGTAGTAACATATAGGCCACATGGACAGCATGTGGCCATTGCAGAACAATGGTGATATTTGGTTAAGTCTGCTCTAGTATGTTACTACCTGCTGACAAGCACATAAAAAACAAAATATTTTTTTCCCAGTAGAGGAGATCTGCACTGATTCCTTGTTTTCTGACTAGCATCAGTCCTCTACAAAGTCTGAATATTTCTTTCCTGCCACAGGAATTGGCCTTAAAGATTTCATAAGTGACAAGTTTCTCTCCACATAAGAGCTAATCTAAATCCTCAGGATGACACTAACAAGGCATGGTGGTCTCTCCTCACTGCTTCCAACCCCTTATTTTTCTACTCCAGGGCCATTCTAGCTCCTGTGTCTAGCTGTGGTTTCATATATCCATTGCTAGGGCAGGGTGCTGTGTAGTAATGTGATATACTCTAACATAGTGAGGGCTAACCTTTGTCAGGCCTGCCACAAATTAAGTACCACACTCTTGCCAAGTGCCACTCCATCCCCTTCCCCTTTTTATTTGCTGCTTTCCTGTCTATTGCTTGCCCTGTGCTCCCTTCCTGATCTGCTACTCTTCTTTCTGGTCCCTGCCCCATCACTGTGTTGCCTGCCTCCTCCCCGGTTTGTCACATGCCACTTATGGTGCTTGTGCCACAGGCTAGCCACTCCTGCTGTATTGCAGTGATGCCCAAGCTTTCTGGGCTACAGGCCAGATCCCATACATGGGATTGGTTTGTGGGTCTGATCCAGTGTAGGGTTGGCATACAGACACAATTGAGTGCAGGGACCCAGCCCCATGTGTGTTGCATCAGGACTGGCACCCTGGCCCCATGCATGCTAGATTAGGCTCACCAAATTGGGCCCGCTGCCGCAGACCACGGGGCCACATCCTTTGGCCCACAGGGCTTAGAGATACTTGGCCATGGAGGAGTGGTGGCAGCATTAACTGCCACTGCACATCCCCTTTGTCAAATTTCTGGACCCACAGTCCAGCTGACAAAGCTCCATGGGCTGGCTAGAGGTTGAGCACCACTGCTGTAGTGCAGGGCTTTTCAACTCTTTTGGATCAGTGTACCCCTGGCAGCCAGACATGGAGTGGGGGGGTGCCACGCTGCTGTGGAGCAGTGGCAGATGCCACATGTGAGCTTCCCCTGCCCCCTGCATTTGGCCGGGTGGGTGGCACCTGCACCGCAACGCACGATGGTGCATAGGGCTGCTCCGTCCCCACCCGCTCACACATACCCCCTAAGGCCTTCTAGTACCCCTGGGGGTACACGTACCCCCGGTTGACAACCCTTGCTCTAGTATACTCCTTGAGGGCACCAGTACAGCACCGTAAGGAAAAAGTGCTGGACTTCTGAGCGGGGCGGTGACTGTATCAGGCCTAGTGGCTTGGGAAAAAAAAAAAAAAAAAAGAAGGAAAGGAAAGGAAAGATGGATTCGGTTGAGTTACTTTTTGTCCTTACACTACTAAAAACCACAGTTTCAGAGATGGCTGCATCTCTAAGTTGAATAAAATGCACCAGCTGTATCTCCCATCCAGCCCCTTCTTGCACGAATATACACATACACAATTCTATACTAAAGGCTTGTGTAAGATGCTCCTTCAAACTGTATCTTATTTCCACAGCAATGACTGGCCTGTCACCAGTGGTACTCTGGTTAAAGAATAAGCAGTGGAGGAGAGAGTAGTTAATTAACTAAATTCCGGTTATTGTGCAAATTTCCTAATAACAAGATGGGAAAAGCCTGCTAGAAATGAGTTTTCCTACGAGGAGCAGTGGTTTCTTGTGAAGTGCATTTGACAGTCTTCCAGAAGGAGCCATCTGGTGGTAAATAGCACACATTGAATGAACCTGAGCTGCACGTTATAATATTAGGCATGTTACCAAACTGATTTCTTTAACTGCTTTTGGGAATCACTTTAAAACATTGAGGGTGCATCTACAGATCACCCTACAGCAACATGACTGTGTTGTGTATAGTGTGCGCATCAGTGATGTAGTGATCATGTAGGTCTACACATGATTGCCAGCTACGTTGCTGTAGCAGCGTGTTTCCTGGTTATAGCACGCCGCTATGGTGATGGAGTGGCAAAACCTAACCGTGCGCTGCATGCATGGTGCAGCAACCGCCTGCACTGCACCATCCATAGTGCTTCTAAAAGGAAGTACTAAAGCATGGTGCTGTAGCAATGTCATTGTCTACACATCGCCGTACACGCCCTGAAGGTAGGGTACAGCATGAACCTTTATATTGAACCTACTTCTGTTTTTCACAGAGGCTGTCATTACCCTTGTGTAAAACAGCAACTTATTGAAATATGATTTACTTGCATCTAGTTCTACATGCTCTTATTCCTTGTTTAAAAAAGTGACAAAGTATGTGGTGCATTCAGTTAAACTACTGAGTCCAATGATGCGAACCAGGTCAGACTTCTTAGCAAATTAATAATGGTTAAATAAATAAGTTGGGCTTGATGCTGCATTCCTTCCACATCCCACTGATTTTGAACAGTTTTGGGTGAACAAAGCATTGCAACCATTTATCTTTCTGTGGAAAATTACAATAGCGTCCTTCAGTCTTGCATAAACTTAAGGGCCGTTGGCAACAGTGAGACTCCCAGAGAAACAAAAGATAAAAGCATGTTGCCAAGATTTAAATAAAATTAAATAAATAAATAAATAAATAAATAAGATCGTAGTGATTTTTGCATAGTGATTCTATTTTTGAATGAGACACCAGAAGGGAGCCTGATTTTCAGAAAGTGATAGCACAGCACTATATAAAAACCAGATCATTTAAGGCATTTCAAGCTGGATATCCAAACATGGAAGAACCCCCCAAAAACTAGGCACTTTGTAAACCTTGGACAGCCTTGCCTTTATTTAGAAAAAATCTGCATCAGGCTTGATCTGAAAGAACTGCTTGTAAAACAGAAGTTGAAATGGGAAAATTTACATTTTTTAAATGAACTAGTCTACATTTGGAACTAATTGCCTGACACACTTCCCCTAATAAAAATCTATTTGCATTATAGGCGAGTAATAAAACAACAACTATATGATAAGTGCAGAAAGAAATACATTACAAAGCTCTCTCAAAAATAGACCAAATTAGGACAAAAAAAACCAAACAAAAAACAAATATTGCCTGGGTTGAGAGTTTCACCTCAGAAATAATCATTTATAATTACATTTCTGAAAACAGGGATTTATAACGGAGGTCTCATCTAAAATGTCTTTACCATCTTGCTATATAATATGATATAGACAGAGTGGCAGAGGAAAGTGAATGACGAGAGCACTACTATTCTCTCTCAAACAGGCCTCCTTTATTCTTTGGCCACATGCTTCATCCAGTTCTTTATCAGGAGTCTTACAGGATTTGGGAAAACAGATGAGAGCCATCCCACCAGCCCTACAATGCCAAGGGAGACTCCTATTTGCCATTTCAGTGAGATTTGTTGGGACCTAGTTATGAGGGCCTTATGGGCTATGTACAGACAGTCAAAAAGCCCGAGGCTGAATCGATTCAATCTTTGCATGTTAATCTAAGCTGCATAGACATTCACTTTCAATTCCAGAAAGTCAGCCACATGCCTGCAGTGGCCTAGAGCATGCCTCCCTGCTTGGCTGGAGCAGACACCGTGGACCAAAGCTAGCCTGACAACCCTTTGCGGTTTGGGGGGAGGTACAAAGCATTCTGGGATGCTGGGGGACTGAGTTGACTCGAATCTGCAGGGGATGTAGGACAGAAGTTCAATAAAAACTGATTTCACCTAAATCAGGTAAGTCTGATACTACATCCATCCAGGTTTATCTTAAACTGGTTTTGGTCATTTTGAAAGCGATTTATGTGCACTGAATTTCTGTTGTATTACAGATCTGAACCAGTTTCCAATCACTTATACCAGGTTGTGTGCAATTTCTGTCCCTAGTCATGATGTATGAACTAGTATGAAGGGACCAAAGGAGAGCTAAGAATCAGCAATACCATCTTCCTTTCCCTTATAGACATTTTCATTTACTACTAGCAAAGAAAATCTACCAAGCTATTTTAAAAACTTGAAACTCAAACTGGGGATGCGAGGGAGACTGACAGCAGAAAGCCATGTTCTAAATTTTACTAATGTTGTAAAAAGGTTTAACGTGAATGAAACTGACATTACTGTCAAATACAGTCCTTTCTTTTTGCATCAAGTTCTCTTTGTGTTTCACATTCCTGTTTCTTCAGGTTTGGGATAGCGGGAAGCGTGAACGTGACTGGTGATGAAGTGAAAAAGCTGGATGTGTTGTCCAATTCTTTGGTTATTAACATGCTACAATCCTCCTATGCCACCTGTGTCTTGGTCACTGAAGAGGATAAAGATGCTATTATCACTCCGAAAGAGAAGAGGGTCTGTACATAGATCTGTGTTGTGAGGGGCCTGTTTTTTTAATTTGGCAGTAGATGGCACTATTGTTCAGAATACTGAAAAGGAAGGAGGCCTCACCTCTAAGAAAGAATAAGGCAGAAGTTCCCAAGGGAAAGAAGAAAACTGCATTATTGTTCTATTCGTTAAACGATTAGTTATAGTGGAAGATCCAATCTCAAAAAATTAAAAGCTTCCTTTGCAAAGATTTCTTTATTAAAACAAAGTGAATGGTGGGAATAATTATTTATGATCTTGTTGAGCAAAATCCTAATCAGAATATAATATTGCTATGCTCATATCCTTTCCTAAATATTGGTAGAATTTTTTTGCATACATATTTTAGGCAAGAAAACTGAAGAAGTAAGGGTCTATTATTTGTTAGCAGATGAGGTAAAAAAATCAGACTCTAAATTAAATGTTTTCAGGGAAACATGACTACCTAACAGAGTTAGTTACCACTTGAATGGAACCCATATTATATTTTATCTTTTCTAACAATCCAGTCTAAAGGCCTAAAAAGATCCTAATTCACAGTACTTCAGACTGGTGAAGGTTTGGACTACTTCGTACCAAAACTATCGATCCCTCTTCCCAAACCTCATCTCATAATCCATTCTCACAGCGGGCATGTCTACACGTTCATTAATGCTCATTACATTTAGTAACTCTAAGGTGCGGTACTACATAAGTGTGCATTAGGATGCCCTAATGTACAGTAGTGAAAGTGCACACTTTTTTACTGATGCTTAATGCGCAGTAGCCTAATTTTACTGCACATTAGCTAAAGAACACTGTTTTTACATGATATTTTAATGTGCAGTAAAACAAGCTACTATGCATTAAAGTGCATGGGAAGATGCATCCACTAGCATCTAAACATAACTTATTTAATAATGCTAGATGTACCCAAACTAAACTACTCAGAAGTTTGCAAAGCTGTAAACTGAAGCTGTGATGGCCTGTGTTTTTGTATTCTGAGAAGTGCCGTGTACACCAATGGTGCTCATCAACCAAACAGCAGAAACCTGAGCACATTCTTCTCTGGCTGGATTTGTCAAGAGTATTTGGTTATCTACATGTAGTAGGAAAAAGATGGTGTTTGCCAGGCAAAGGGAAAAGATTGTACAAATCAGCATATCTTTTCCAATGACGCTGTTATTTCTCTTTTAGGGTAAATATGTGGTGTGCTTTGATCCACTAGATGGCTCTTCCAACATAGACTGCTTGGCACCCATAGGAACAATATTTGCTATCTACAAGAAGGTAAGGGGATGAACAACACACACAATATGATTCACTCTGTGAGAAGAAAACATTTCTGGTATATTGGCTTGCTTCACTTTCATTTCCAGGCCCTTAGCACTAATGTCTCTGGTATAAACAGAGTTTTAGAAAGACATGCAACAAAACTATTTGAAATAATGCACTGAATTCTTAGAATGATGCACACACAACTGAACTGACTACGTGAAATATTGGGCCCTTGCACACAGGAATAATAAAAGAATTAGAAGGTAATTGGTTAGCTACATCAACCACATTCTACATTAGCCACTGCTGCAGAGCTGGGGAAAGACCTAGGCTGGGGGTAACCAAAACAGCTATGTCAGTGTGCAGAGTCAGAGTTTCTTAATTGGCAGGCGTGTTTATACTTGGGAGTTTTGGTTCCCATCCATCACCTGCAATTCTGCAGTGTTTGCCTCTGCATAGCTACATGGAGTAGTGAGCATTCAGCCACAAGTTTGCCAGGGGTTAGAGTGATCCCAGCTTTCATAACATTATAGTCAGTCTCATGTGGTTTAGTGTTTTCTGGTTCTTAGAGTCATATGATTACACTAGACCAAAGGCAGGCAATCTTTTCTGGCTGCCAGGTCAGAGACAGGAGAGCACTAGGGCTCAGGTACCACCGCGGTACAGGGGAAGTACCTGCAGCCAGGGTCTTCCCACCCCTGAGTGCCACTAAGCCCCCACATCCAGGGGCTAGATCCAGTGCTTAGATATCTTGAAGGGGTTGGAGTTGGACTGTGACCTGCAGAAGTCCCTTCCAGCCCTACTTTTCTCTGATGTTATGATTCCTGCTCTAGAGCAGTAGAGTTCAATGTTTTAGAGTGGTGAGTAAGATTGCACCAAGGACCACCATTCCCCTAAGGTAGGGGAGCAGAAAGGGGAGGAGGTGACTGCCAGTGTCAGAGGAGGGGAGAGAAAGAAGGAAGGGGGGAAAGAGCACCTGCCATAGGGGAGAGGAGAAGAAGAGAGCTGGGTGGGCTGCAGGGGGGAGCAGCAGCATAGCCTAGTACAGGGAAGGGGATGGACAGAGCCAAGGTGCGTCTGCTGTTCCCCCATGCCAGGGGCTTGATCCAGCCTGCTGGCTGAGCATCACTGCTCTAGGTCCTCAGCTTTTATTTTCTAAAAAAACATATTTTCAGATCTCATGGTTGCAGAAAAAAAAACCCTTACATGTGAAAGCTAAAGGGTCATAACCCTGAAAGCAAATCAGAACTCAATATGATCTCATTATTTTTAATGTCTTTGCTAGGAAGAAAGACAAGCTTTCAACTTTCATGAGCTAACTCCAGTAAGACAAAACAGCCTGTAAGCTTTGCACAGGTTAGCAGGATGTAAAACAGGGATGCTCAAACTCTGGCCTTTGGGCCAGATGTGGCTTACGGAATCATGTCATCCATCCCATAGATCCAGAAATTTGGTGGCAAGGGAGCAGTGGCAGCATTGTCATTCCCTGCTGCCAAATTTCAGGACCTGTGTGGAGCCTCACAGACCACATAATGTAGCCCTGTGCACTACAGTGCACCAATGCGGGCTCAGACGCATACAGCCAGATCCAGGTATGTGGGGTTAGACTGGCATGCAGCCAGCTCCAGGCACATGGGTTTGCACCCACAGATCGACTCTATGCACCAACCCTGTGCTACTCATCCAGCCCATAGTTCCAAAATGTTTAGCATCAGTTATGTAAACCGACATGTCTATCTAGACTTTTTCTTCATAATGCATAACCAGAGATAAGTCCACATCATAGATGTTAGGGTCAGAAGGGACCTCAATAGATCATCGAGTCTGACCCCCTGCATAGGCAGGAAAGAGT